GATTTTCCAGCTGTTTTACAAGAGTACCTTCCTAAATTAGCGCAGGGTTTAACCCGCTCTCTCCCCCCTCTCTCTCCTTCTCCCTCCTCCCTCAGTTTGCTCCCAGTTCTCCAAAGGAGTGTACGCCATCATCGGCGTGTACGACAGGAAGACCGTCAACATGCTGATGTCCTTCTGCGGCGCGCTGCACGTGTGCTTTGTCACGCCGTCGTTCCCCATCGAGAACGCCAACCAGTTTGTCATACAGCTGAGGCCGGAGCTCCAGGACGCCCTGGTGGGCGTGATCGAGCACTACGGCTGGACCAAGTTTGTCTACATGTACAGCTCAGACTCAGGTAGGAAACTGTTGGTCCGACCGTCCTCCACCCTTCACCTCCACCCTTCACCTCCGTCCTTCACCTTTCACCTCCAACCTTCACCTCCGTCCTCCGTCCTTCACCTCCGTCCTTCACCCTTCACCTCCACCCTCCTCCTCCACCCTTCACCTCCGTCCTTCACCTCCACCCTTCACCTCCACCCTTCACCTCCACCAGCAGACCATGGTTATTCTGTAAGGCAGGAGCCCTAACCCCTTGACCCAGGGTACGACCCTGGAGCAGACGTGAATCTGAAATCTCTCTTTGTTGTCTTCTGGTTGCCATGGCAACAGTATTAGGGCCAATGGCAGTCAGTGCGCAGGAAATGAGCAGCCATCACAAAATTTCTTTTAGCCCCCTGCTGTGGTACAGTGGGGGGTAAAGGGGGAGGGGGGGGGAGTATTGATTGGCAGTGACTAACAGACAAATGTCAGAACAGAAGACGGAGAATCAACGAGTCCTCGTTCAGACGGACGTCCAAACGACTGCTGCAGCATTGACTTTAAACGTCTTTATCACACTGCTGCACAGGCAGACAGAAATAAAGGAGCACACCTGCCAGCCCCCCCCCCCCCCCCCCCCCTAAAGTCGATCAGATAAAATCTTCACTTTGTGCAACACCAGTGTTCTGATTCCTGAGGATTTTATTTTTTAACAAAATGAGCTCCAGACTAATTATGGTCCGATCCAAACTGGTTTGGTCTGGTTGACCTGGTTAACTGTTATATGAAACAACAACTGAAGAGAAAAAACATTCAGTTCCTGTCTTTCACTGGAGGACACCTGAGGTCTCGGAGGACGAAAGGAAAATGAGAAAAGAAGTCAAACATCCCTGAGTCTAAAGTCTCACTGACTTTAATCACCTTCATAATGTTGGCTTTATTTTCTCTGCATGATCTTCAGCTACGATACGTGTATGTGTGTGTGTGTGTGTGCGTGGTCACCCCACTCAGACTGAGTGCTGGGATGGACCAGGTGGAATCCAGATCACTGTTCTCCTGTTGCTTGGATACTCTGCAGCACTAACCTCTCAGAGTTATTTTAGGCTTTTAAAGAAAATCCTATTTAGTTGTACAGCACTCTGTGTCTGTGACAGAGGAGGAGGACGTCTTTATAATACTGATCTTACCATCCACATCAACCTCCATTATGTGCAGCTCAACATTCAGTTGTCTGTTTTTTAATTTCATCATTTTCATCATTCCATTTAAAATCCTCTGTTTTTTATTTTCACAAAACGACGGCAGAAAATTCATTTTATCACCTGTTAAAATCATCATAATCAACACACAGGTGATGGTTTCCTGCTGTGTTATTTCCCCCCCCAGTCTGTGAGTACTGCCTCTGGCTAAAGCACTGCTTGTGACAGCCAGATTCTATTATGATATTTTCCACTTCCTGGATGCCTTTGGAGAACCTGTCCTACAAGCCTCACCATCACAGCGGCTGTGATGTGTTTGGGATTATAGCCTCACCATCACAGCGGCTGGGGTGTGTTTGGGATTATAGCCTCACCATCACAGCGGCTGTGATGTGTTTGGGATTATAGCCTAGCCTCACCATCA